TCAAATGTTTGTTGGAAGTGTGAAGCACATGAGGGAAGTTTTTATTATATGTGGTGGACTTGTAGAGTAGCAAAGCAATTTTGGATAGGTGTACATACTCTGATGGTTGTTGTGGCTTATTCGGGCTCTTTGGCCGTGTTCTGAAGGTTGTTCTTCCTGACTTTTCGCCAGTCTCTGTGGCCGGCATCTTCAGAGGACTGGAGTAGGAGCTCTGTCCAAGGTGTTCCTACTCCAGTCCTTTGAAGATGCCAGCCACAGAGACTGGCAAAACATCAGGAAGAACAACCTTCAGAATACAGCCAAAGAGCCTGAATAACCCACAACAACCATCAGATCCCGGCTGTGAAAGCCTTCGCAAATACATTGTACATACTCTGTTACAAAAAATATTGCTTTGTAAGGTTCCACGAGCCCCAGAACTGTTTATACCAGACAATATAGATAAGACAAAGAACTACTTAGTTTTATATATATTGTCACTGCAGCCAGAATTCTTTATGCCAAGAATTGGAAGAAATCAGTGATACCGGAACAAGAGGAACCTATTGAGAATATACGGGAAGTGGCAGAAATGGATATCTTATCAGAAGTGCTGAAAGATTGTCCAATAGAAAAGGCAAGTGAACGATGTGATTTATTATATAAGTGGATTGAGTCACAAGATAGTACTTGAATAACAGATTAAAACTAGTACTTGAATAACATAGATTAAAACTAGGATGTAAATGTAAGTTTTAACCTGGAGGGCAATCATATAGTAGAAAAGTGGAAAGTCAAGTTCATATGGCACCATGAATAGATTGGATGGCAGTACATTTTGTATTCTCCTCCCCCTACTTTTTCCCCCTCAAAAAAAGGGGGGAAAAGAATAATTAGGGTGATCCTGAACCCTTTCTGAACCAGAAAAATGGTTTCAGTACTTTGATAAACCTCACACTCACCCTGTCCTCACATTACAGAGAAGTCTAAAGTTTGCCCTGAACCAAACACCATGAATAGATTGAATGGCAGTACATTTTGTATTCTCCTCCCCCTACTTTTTCCCCCTCAAAAAAAGGGGGGAAAAGAATAATTAGGGTGATCCTGAACCCTTTCTGAACCAGAAAAATGGTTTCAGTACTTTGATAAACCTCACACTCACCCTGTCCTCACATTACAGAGAAGTCTAAAGTTTGCCCTGAACCAATGCTCTGCCTATATTGATTTTTTTAAGTGCTCAGATAGAGGATATCAAGGCCCTTGTGTGTAATTTCTAAGTAACAGCAGGCTAGGATACAGGACAGGTCTCAAAGCTGCAACTGTCTGTGGGCAGTGTTGCCAGAGAATAGTGTTTCGTGGAGATTTCACTGAAATGCCTGCCAGCTTATTAGAGACAATAGTAGTACAGCCTCTCTCACTGCATGAACAAAGTGTGTAACATGTTTGTTCGGATAGCTAGTTTCTGGCTCTTTTCTCACTCTCACAGGGCTATTTCAAGCTGACAAATACCGCAAAGCCACAGTCAACAGACTGTAGCCATTATAAATTCATGCATGTTATAGTCCAGAGGTATAAAAGACTCTGAAGTGTAAAAATGTGTTCCTGGAGATAAGGCCAGGATAACCACAGTTACTATCGAGGGATATAAAAGCTCAGCCTTGGTGCTGCTTTACACTCCTACATACTAGTTGTCAGTCTATTTTATAACTCCATATTCAGGTATCAGTTCTCACTGGGACTGTTTTGAAACGTCATTTGACCACCCCCCCTTTTTTTACTTCTGTAAGCCTTTGGCTAACCAGAGCATGTGGCTACTTCCCTTTTCCTCTCAGTACTGTATCCACATTTTGGCTCCATTCCTCTCACCCCTCACCAACCAAGTTCACTCTCAGAGGGGAGTGACAGAAAGTGCATCACCTCACAATATGTCTGATTGCCACAAGGGTAGCAAGGAGAGGGCCACTGCAGGATGCCAGTCTCTGCAGAGGTGGCCTGGGCTGGTAGGATATGTCGAGAGGGTTACTTCTCTTCCAGCTCTGCAGCCTGGGTTGAGCGGCTAAGAGTACATGCTGTAAAGAGCACCCATTCCTCAGAAACTGGAGCAGAGGCAGTTTAGACAGAAAGACGAAGGGCTAAAAAGGGAGGAATTGGGGAGGAACAATGTTTTCCAGTCCTTCTCCTTGCCCTACAGCATTTTTTTTTACTAGAAGCAGTGGGAGAAGCCAGGCTTGGAGAACCTGACCAGCCTTGTTCTTGCTCATGAACTTCCTTCTCCAGGAGTGGACTTCCTGGCTGCCATCCTTTCTGAAATACAGTACAGTGGTGCCTCGCTTAGCGATTGCCTTGTTTAATGATATATTCGCTTAGCGATGAGATTTTTGGACCGATTTTGCGCTCTGTTTAACGATGTTTCCTATGGGGAAAATTCGCATAGTGATGTTCAGGACCTTGCCTCGCTTAGCGATGACAGTTTTAGGTCCCCTGTTTCGCTTAGTGATGTTCCGTTTTTGCTATTTTTAAAGTGTCTTAAAAGGTTCAAAAATGGTTGTACGAGAGATCAACAAACAAAGCTCTGGGTCACAGTTCAGAGTCTTTATACCACAAAATATACTATAAGTAGGTGAGTGTTTTAAAAGGTTTGTAGTTAATTAGCCAATCAATTTTTTAAATGGCAGCAAACAGTATTTGTGGCGAATAATTTCTCCTCATTACAGTTCTTAATAATGGATAACTCACCCACATATTCATCCATATTGAAGGTTTTCACGTATTTGAAAGAGAGATCCCCATTCTTGCAATATTCTATTAGTTTTCTGTAACACCCTAGTGGAGTACTTCCTGGAGATCAAAAAAAGCAGTGTACTGTTAGCAAAGTCGAATCTTGCTCCAGCCATGTGGCAAGTAAGTGAAAGTCACTAATGCTGCACATTATTTCAGAGACATACTGGGCTGCTCCATCTTAACTCAGTCACTTTTGTTTTATTCCTGATGGAACAGGGAAAAAACTATGAATGCACCATCATCTTCCCATCCCATCCCACACATATATCATCTCCACAGTGAGAGCTAATAGCTAATGGCTTTTAACATAGGAAAAATGCAGCTGAGAAGAGAGCGAAGTGAATAAAGTGAGGCACAGTGTGGACTGAAAAAAGCTTTTCTACCTCTCTTATAATATAGCTGGAGCCATTGAGTCTGAAGCTAAAAAGTAAGAGTTGGGTCAGAGAAATAAGAGTGTATCTTTACCCATGTCAGTGCACAATTCAAAGATTCCCCTACTTGGGACCCCAGATGTTCTTGGACTACAACTCCCAGAAGCCTTAGCCATTAACGAGCTAGCTTGGGTTCTTGACCTAGAACTAAGGCCATATGTTTGGGAACCACTGGCCTATCCAAAGTATGAATCTCATCACCACAAGATGTCATGATGTTCATCAACCTGGACAGCTTTAAAAAGGAATCACATAAATTCTTGGAGGGTAATCCTATTAGCGGCACCTAATAGTCCCAGATCAACCGACAGCAAAATAACGCATTTAAGTGATGATTAATGAGTCCCATTCATTTCACTGGGTCTAACTTCAGTTGGGACCAACTCTGGCTTTAATCCATTTAGCCTCCGGTATCCAAGGCAATTTGCCTTTGTGAAGTAGCCACTGTGGAATACAAATTGTTGTACTCATGCCCTCCTTGAGGGATCCAGTTAGCTACTGTGGGAACAGAATGCTGGACCAGAAAGGCCTCTGGTCTGATTCTGAACAACTGCTGTTATGTTCTTAAACAGATGATACTCAACAGTCTTCACATTCATACACTTTTATAAATATGTTTACAAGGCTAGGATGACGGAAAGTATTAATACATTGAGATTCTTTTGGGGGGTTTATAGAACTCAGACACATTCAACATAGTGAGTTACTTGCTAAAGTGTGAAACACCAAGTAGGGAGTGAGAGCTTGATTATAACATTATACAGGCCAAGTGCTCTTGCTGACTGACCGTGAAAAAATGCAAGTGCGATGAGAAAGGGGCGGTGATCTGTTCATCACAAAGCCACCCCCTCCCAAAAAGCTAAGCCTTGCAACTTACCAGTGGGAAGCCCAAGGGTAAAATACCTGTCTGGACCCGGATTAAACTGGACGATTCGATTCCTAATGTACTTTGCTGCCCACTCACTAGCCTGCGCATAATGCTCTAGAATGATGAGTTTCATCCCAACCTGCAAATTTGAAAGAAATGTTCTGGTTAACTGGTTGCAAATAGAGAGGACAGAGTGGACAGAAGGGGAACAGAGATCTGGCCAGCTAACCCCAAGGGAAACATCACTGACTTTTAACACAAGCAGCACATGATTTGCTTTGGGGCATTTTGAGTTCAAGAGGTATGGAGTCAATCCTAGACAGAAAAAAACAGTCCATCTTTGTAAAAGAAACATTATCAGCCAAACTTCTGTTGCTTAGCCTAGTAAATCCCACTAGAGTAGGCCTGCTGAACCAATGAAGTTTGTGCAAATTATTTTCTCCACAAGTCCCATTAATTTGCTCCATAAGTCCCATTAATTCAAATATGCCTAGCCTTAACTGGTTTACTTTGGCATAGTAAATCACAGTTGGTTGTCCCATTTGAATCAACAGAATTTACAGAGAAGTTGACTCACCAAATCCCTACTGATTCAATGGACCCACTTTAGTGTGATGTACTATGTTTTATCCCATTTACCTGAAGCCTCTGACATTCATAATTTTAGTCATAGCTGTCTATAAAATATCTTTATAAGACTGACTCACAAACAGAAGTGTTTTTGCAAAATGTTTTGGCTTCTGCTTTCCTCAGTTGCCCCGTCCTATCTGAAGAGCTCACAGCATAGAATAATAAAGACACACAAGAGAAAACAGAGGAGATCCTTGCCCAAGATCCAGTATGCGAGTCAGTCCTTTCTCAAGTAACCCGAGAACAGAGCAGCAAGAATTATTCATGGTTCTTTCTTCACTCCTTCTGTATCTCTCATCCATGGAAAGATACATTTCATTTGGCATTCAAAAATCCTCACAGCCAAGATGCTTTGCCAGTCTTGCTTCAGTCATTAGAGGGAGCATAAGGAAAGGAAATTGCTCCTGTCAGTCCATCTCCCACATCATAGTAATATCTAAATTGGCTCCAATTCAGAAGCAAAAAACCCATACAAAAAATAACAAAAGAGGCAGCATGTTGGGGCAGGCAGTGGTTGATGCAGACTGAGCAGGCCTAAGTTCAAAGCTCAGTTCAGCCATTAAGCTTCATCAGAAACCCTTGACCAATCAAAGTCTCTCTATCATTCACTCACACTTGTTGTTTAGTTGTTAAGTCATGTCCGACTCTTCGTGACCCCATGGACTAGAGCACGCCAGGCCCTCCTGTCTTCCACTGCCTCCCATAGTTGTGTCAAATTCATGTTGGTTGCTTCGATGACACACTGTCCAACCATCTCGTCCTCTGTTCACTCACACATACAGGGGCCAAAACCCTATTCCTATTTTATGTGTGCTTAAGGGCAAACATGACAGGTCCCCTCACACACACACTTTTATGGCATGATTTCCTTTACATCAGTGATCCCCAACCTTCGTCCTCCAGATGTTCTTGGACTTCAACTCCCAGAAATCCTGGCCAGCAGAGGTGGTGGTGAAGGCTTCTGGGAGTTGTAGTCCAAGAACATCTGGATGACCAAGGTTGGTGTGAAGGTGTAGGTCAGAGTGTGCCGTCCTATCCACTTTGTAACCAGCTTCACAATCAGTGTCTGTTTACTCACTCGAAGGAATGCCTCCTGGAGAAGGAGGCATATGGTGTGAGTAAACAACCTTCCAGCCACAGAATATGAACCCAAACTTGCAAGATTCTTCCGAGATGGATGCCACTGGGAGTTTCACAGAAGAAGGGTGCAAGGAACAAAGGGACCAATAAAAGGCACTTTGAAAAAGAGATTGTGAAGAGTCTGATTACGAGTAGGGGGGTGCAGACCGATTGATTAACGGACATGAAGAGCCAAGCGGACTCGGCCCAAGGCTTCCCTAATATAAAGAAAGAAGGAGGACTGTTGCCGGAGCCTTCTCTACCCAGCGGACACGGTCGGGCATATGAGCCCCTAGAATGGAGGGTCTCAATTTTCCCGGTGAGCTACCCTGGTGGGGGCCGGAGAGTTATCCGCCCGGGCCCAGAGTTTCAAGAGAAGCCTCCAGAGGGGGACTGGGCCCGCCATCCCTGTTTTGGGACCATATGTGCCGTGCGGAGTGCGCCCCTAAGACCGTTAACGGATCGCGAACGATTCGGCCCGGCCCCCTGGTAGGGGAAGAGATGAACCCACCGGTTGTAAAGGCAAAAAGATACACCTTGTTATCTGATGAAGTGTTAAAGGATCCGTTTGATCCTGTGGAAATAAGTGTACATTCAAATAAAGTTACTGTTTCACAAGAAGTGGGCTCGCCCCCGCGCCTTTTTCCCGCCTTTACTACACAACCCCCCCTGGGGAGCCCTGCTTTACATGATCCACTTTGTGACCAACTTCACAATCAGTGTCCGTCTACTCACTTGAAGGAATGCCTCCTGGAGAAGGAGGCATATGGTGTGAGTAAACAACCTTCCAGCCACAGAATATGAACCCAAACTTGCAAGATTCTTCCGAGATGGATGCCACTGGGAGTTTCACAGAAGAAGGGTGCAAGGAACAAAGGGACCAATAAAAGGCACTTTGAAAAAGAGATTGTGAAGAGTCTGATACCAAATGGCTTCTCTAAGGTTAATATGTGGTGAAGGCCAACAGTGTGAAAGGATGTCTGAAGAAGTAGATGTCTCCAGGAAAATTCACACTGCAATGAAACATGTAATCTGAAAAATATTTTAGCATCTCTGTTTTTTTGGTTTTATGTTTGTAGTCAGTGTGCTAGGAGGGACAACGGATAGGGGCAGAGCATACAGTTTGAATGTAAAATATCTCCATTTCACTCCTCACCATCTCCAGTCAAAACCACCTCAAAGAACAGGGATGGAGGAGATCCACAGCAATCAGTTCTGGCCTAGACTGACATAGGACAAACAAGCTGGCTCCATACATATTATATCATAGAATCATAGAATAATTGAGTTGGAAGGGACCAAAAAGCCATCAAGTCCAACTCCCTGCTCAATGCAGGAAAAGGTTTCCAGAAGACAACAGCTCAGCTGAACTCTGGATATCATGGTTACCCTTTGCTTGTCAAACTCTTGGGTTACTTCCATTTCATGGCAGAGTTTTCTTTCTCACTCTCGTTATCCTCTGAACTTATGTTCCTCTCATAACATGTAAACCTCTTCCACACGGCACCTGTTTCAACAACATCATTGCCATGCTTCTCCAGAGCATCCAATCTCTGCCTTCTTCCTCATATTCCTTCTTGCATAAGAAGGAACATGAGGAAGAAGAGGCAGAGAGAGATTGGATATTCTTGAAAAAATTGGCACTGATGCTAATACTACTGTGTGGGAATGTGTTGTGTGTGCAAATAAGTACTCTGTTTCCCCGAAAATAAGACCTAACCTGAAAATAAGCCCTAGTATGATTTTTCAGGATGCTCGTAATATAAGCCCTACCCCAAAAATAAGCACCAGTTAAGTGAAACCCCGCCCTCCACCATTGTGCAACAATTAGAAGAAGATATTACTGAATAAATGTAGATTGTTTTACATGGAAATTAGAAGAAGATGATATTACTGCATTTGAATAAATGTAGATTGTTATACATGGAAAAAATAAAACATCCCATGAAAATAAGCCCTGATGCGTTTTTTGGAGCAAAAATTAATATAAGACCCTGTCTTATTTTCGGGGAAACGCGGTACATTAATATGCATGTTAGGAAGAGATTGGGATTCTAAGTCACCAGGTAGGATTTATTTATTTCCACTTAAATGGATTTATTTATTTCCACCTGAGGCTTTGCTGCCCCAATGGATTAGATGAGATTGCCATATGTGGGGAGTAGACAGAGCACACGAGGCCTATATCAGTTCTGTGCTGAGCCACTGTTTAGTGTTTCCTTTTGCCTGGGAAGAGCAGCTGAAGGTAGTATGCATATTCAAAGCAGGCGAGTCTACTCCATAAGTTTGCCCTTCTAAATTTTGGCACCCTGGGACAAAGCCCCATTGATGCCTTGCATACCAGCTGGAACTGGGAGCAATTGCAGTCCAAACAACATTTGGAAAGCCACCTAACTGCTTGCCTGGTGCACACACCCCACTATAAAAGAATCAGCACACGTTTCTCCCATATCTTCCAGACATCTGGATGAGACAGGCAAAAGATGGTCTTCTCGATTTCCTGCTCTTTTTGTATGCAGAATATATGTGAAAGCCATAAAAACAGCTAGATGAAGCCTAACCCAAGGCCAGGCAATGGACACAGTGAGCAGAAATTTGAGGCTACTGATGGGTCCAATCCAAGACTCACAAACTATTCACAAGACTTATTGGATGTCTTGCCCTGCTCTCCTACAGACAGAGGTTATTCGTAGCACCTCCCAGGGCCCCAAGACTAAAGCAACCGATTTTGTAGGTTTTCAACAGAAGACAGGTATACGCTGTCAATGGGTTAAACGGGAGGGTGGGTGCGGGACAAGAAGGTAGATCTGGAGTTGAACGACAGTTTAGCAATAACGCAACAAAATGTCTTCTTCTCCAGGCAAATCAGAAACGCCTAAAAAGTTGGGTAGCCAGGACTGTTCCATTTTGTTCTACTCACAACTAACTCCTGAGGTAGAAGAACCCAGAATATCTTTTCCACGATGTCTCCCGGGAATCTCAGTAACCCGAAATCAATCCCAAAGTCGATCCCACAAGCCTGGGGGGGAGTCCGCCCACTCCGGTCTCCATCAGAAACGAGGTCCAGCCTACAGTAGCTCCTTCTCCGGAGCCATCGCTAACACCTTACACGTTCGCCGCGGACGGCTAAGGGGAAAAAGCAAGCCCACCTCGCCGGGACCTCTTAGCTATCCTGACCCGCAAGTTACAAGGTCCAAGGAAGGTGGAAACGAACGCGGCCGTTCCTTCGGGCATTCGTAACGGCACCCACAGTTGGAGTAACGTCCCTCAGGCTGGAGATGGAAGCCGCAGCAGCAGCTAACACCTTACACGTTCGCCGCGGACGGCTAAGGGGAAAAAGCAAGCCCACCTCGCCGGGACCTCTTAGCTATCCTGACCCGCAAGTTACAAGGTCCAAGGAAGGTGGAAACGAACGCGGCCGTTCCTTCGGGCATTCGTAACGGCACCCACAGTTGGAGTAACGTCCCTCAGGCTGGAGATGGAAGCCGCAGCAGCAGCAACGGGGCGGGACGGGGGGGGGACGGCTCACACCCAGGGGCGCAAAGACTCCAACTCACCGCCCCGTAGTAGCTGCCCCGACCAAACCGCCCGAAAGTCTTCTCGCTCCGGCCCGCCTCCTTGTGACCTCAGCCGGTCATATGAGCGGTCACGGGGCGCGAAACTGCTGAGACCGGCGGCACCCCCTCCTCCTCCTCCTGGTCCTCCTCCTCCTGCCGGGGCCCGAGGGCTTGGCTTCCCCTTTCGGAGCGAGCGCTCCTTTTCCTTCCGCACCAGCTGGGCGCCCGAGTTCAGCTCTTTCGATCGCGTTCCCGCTGGCGAGTCCCGGTTCCCAAACGGTGTCGCCGCCAAGCCTCGCGAGTCTCTGATCTAGGCGAGGTGGCGCCCTCACCTGCCACACGCCTCTTCTGGGGTGCCCGGCTTGGTTAGGGTAGCAGGGCCAGAACTGGCAGGAGAGAAGATCCAGGTGGTTGTGGGTTTTCCGGGCTGCTTGGCCGTGTTCTGAAGGTTGTTCTTCCTGACGTTTCGCCAGTCTCTGTGGCCGGCATCTTCAGAGGACAGGGGTCAGAACGCTGTGACAGGGGTCAGAACACTGTTCCTACTCCTGTTCCTCTGAAGATCCCGGCCACAGAGACTGGCGAAACGTCAGGAAGAACAAACCTTCAAAACACGGCCAAAGAGCCCGAAAAACCCACAACAACCATTAGACCCCGGCCGTGAAAGCCTTCGCGAATACACAGAAGATCCAGGACTTTCTGATTCGCAAGGATTAGGACGACATTTGCTTCTTGATTTCCTCTTGAGATGAACTGCAGTCCTCCGAGCAGCTGCGAGAGAAATGGATTTTTCCAGGATATATTGCAAACTCTCCCAGTTGTAATGGAAATTATTTGAGAGTGACTGTATCTTGGCTGGGCAAGTCATACCCATAAGCTCTACAAAAGGGTGGACCGATCCAGCTGCCTGCATTTTTTACTTATTCTGAGGGGGAACTATGGACACAGTCATAAGGAGCGCCTGCATTTCCAACTCTTAACACTACACCACCGGCAACCCACGAGCCAAATTTGCTTGATGGAGCAATTTCATTTCTTTATTTATTTAAAATATTTTTACCCTGCCTTTCTCCTCTAAAGGACCCGAAGCAGCACACGTCATTAAAAAGACAATATGCAAAGCTAAAACCAGTAAATGTACAAATGTTTAAAAAGAATTAACACATTAAAGTCATTAGTTTAATGTATTTTAACCGCAAATTTGTGACTTTTATACTCTTGCCCATAGGTATCTAGACACAAGTTTACATATTCTCCTATGAATGGGGAATTTCGTGAAATAGCATATACTGTACATACAGTACTGTACATGGGACACAGAGTACTTATAAAATTAGTTTTGTTTAAGTGAAAGTAAGAATTCAGAAAGGTATGGAAGGGCTCCGAGAATCTAAATAGTTAAATATCATAGTTTACATTCAAAGTCTTTACTTTTCCATTTCTCAGAAATAGCTAAAATAGGTGCTGAATGCTACTAGCTGAATATACTGTCTTCCGGTTTGCTTCATAGTCACTTGAACACTTGCAGTACAGCATGAGATGTAGAGAGGCCATAAAAATAATTATAAAAGCATTTGAAAAATCACAGGTGCACTGCAAAATTGATAATTTCCCTTCTATGTTACAAATGCAATGCAGTTATGCCTTTTTACTGGAAAAATTATCTACAAGCAACTTTGGATTTATAACCAGTTACTGCCAATGTTTGGATATTCCATTCCATGCACACCATTTGCTACCACAGTTGGCGTGCTTCACAATGATTTTCTTGTACAATTATCTGCTTCATTCACAGGATTCTCCATTAGTAACCCTATCACGCTTTCCCATGCATTTTTCTAGCACACTGCAAGACAATACAGTAGGTTTTCACTATCATTTTTGCTTAAGAGAAAAACAACAGACTAATGGGTTTTTAAATAAATGTTTATGCAGTGAATTTCTCTTCAGATCATGTTCAATAGAGTCAATTATTATGGGTTGACTAGCACCACCTGAGATTTGGGAATACATGCAAACAGATTAAATTATGGGGGAAATAATCAGTGAGAGACACATCTGCAGGGACAGATAAAGATTGCTGGTCAGGAGATTTAAAAAATGATACTAGAAAGCTACAACTGGAAGATATATGTGTTACTTTTAAGACAGGGCAGGAACCTGTAGTCTCCTAGTGGTGGTTGGATTAGAATTCCCATCAGCCTTGAGCCTTAACCATGCTTATTGGAGCTGATGGATCATCAGATCCAGCCATATCTGGATAGGGCCATTGAGTCCAACCCCCTTCTCAATGGTAGGGTAAAGTGTAGTACTTTGTAGGCAACACTCTTGGTCCATCAAGTTTCTAGTACTGTATAATCCAAGGCCTCTCTGGTGTGAAGAAGCTGAGAAACGGAGAATATGGGAGATGGGATCCATCTTGAATGAGACAGGAAGAGGCCTGAGAGCATGATTTCTAGCTGTTTCTCTTGGAATGTTCTTCAGTTGCCAAAGATCAAAGTACCTCCTTTCTTATCTCATGAGAAGGAAGTTTCAAGGCCAGCTTGGCCTAGCTAGTCCTCGTGCCATCCTAATTAAGAAGTGATTTCAGTTGAGTTGGGAGAGAAGTGGAAAAAGCAACTGCTTTCTTGAGAAACTGGAACTTGATTGGAATATGTTGGGAAGGGGGTCCATGCCACCAGGAACGGATGAATCAATTTTTTTTATGGCTTACTTTTTTCAAGGCACACGTCAACCTCCATCACAGCACACAGTTTGGGAATAATGGGAAGTAGGTGAATTATTTCACTGCTGATAAGGCAGCTTCAAGAATTTTATAATTGTGTTATGTGCCATCAAGTCGTTTCTGATTTATAGTGATCTTATGAATTAGTGACCTCCAAATGTTGACAACAGCACACTCTCTCTTGAATATTCCAAAACAGTAGGCTGTCAGAAATACCTACCATATTAAAATATTGGGCATCTTGGGGGACACTCTTAATCTTTGGAGACAATACAATCTTTTATAAAACAAGGATCACTTCTCTCTAGGACTCATCATAAACATAGTTTGGAAGAAATGTACTCCCCATTCTAAGTGTACCTGATTATGAAGCAGAAACCCCTAGCATGTGAAGAGCATAAATCTTAAGAAGTCTGGAAATGAGGGTCTTGAGACCAGTTTCTCTACAAAGGACTGAGCAACTTTTGGCCATGTTTTATCAAGTTGCAAGAGCCCCACCTCATTCACCCTACAATCTAGTTGAGCAGCAGGGCAGCAAAGGTGGTAGGAAGAAGCATTGTTCAAACATTGTTATAACTGTATTTCGAATGATTTTATACATGTTAAACTGTTGTGTTTTTATCTATGTAAGCCACCCCGATTAGACCTTGTCTAGGGGGCGGGGTAAAAAAATCTAATAAATAAATAAATAAATAATAAACATTGCTGTCAGCACTAGAAGCAGTGTTCCCAACTGAAGTATGGATATGGAGGCTCTTTTGCCTGACAGTAGGTTCTTTAACTCAAGAGACATCTGTGCATCTGTGAGGAATGGTTTAAAACATCAAGAGACAAGGAAGTGGGAAAATCACATACTGTATGCTTTGTGGGGGCCCTCCATGTGGCCCCCAAGGCAAAAAAAAAAAAGAACTAGCCCTTGAAATAGCACTCAATGATCACTGTTGGAAGATTAATTTGAGCCAGCCCTTCTGGCTAGAATCTTTTGGACTTACAAGAAAGGAGATCTGTCAACTCTGGTGTGTGTCCTTTTGAAATAATTTAAGGAAAATCATTACAGCTTCCACATTTCTTAGATACTGAATATTTTCTCTGCAGACAATAAATTACCAGAAGTAGAATACAGGGAAATTGGAAAACAAAAACTACAGGTGACCTATAAAGTATATTATATTTGATACACATAATTACATAAAAGTATCAATTATGTATAATTCTCATATATATTCTAATAGTGGCCAGAAACTTACTGTGCGTATAATTCTCATATATACAGTATTCTAATAGTGGCCAGAAACTTACTGTGAAATGCTGTGCATGTAGGAGAAATTGTAGAAGCTGTTTTTGGAATGTTTGGATGTTTGCCATGCTCCTTGAGGCACAAACAAATGCAAGACCTGGTACTGTATGTTCAAGTGTGTGACAGATAGCTGATACAATCACACACACAAGTTATGCAGTTTTAGATTTATGCCGCATTTGCCCAGTAGGATGATAGCCACTGAATTTTGAAAGGCACCATTCCAACATTCTGTTCACATCAAACTTGATTCAACTATGGGCTATAATGAAAACAAGTGGGTACAAGAGAAAAATAAGCAGGCACAGTGTGATTTTCAGAGATTTACAGTAAACTTACTGCCTTACTCATCCAAATGGTTTATACAATGCAAATATCTTTTGTCTTTTTTTAACAACAGTACAAGAGTAATAAAAGAATGGGCAAGATTGTTTAAGAGTGAAGTTTAAAAACTAAGGTATGATCCAAACAAAGCTTAATTTCAGTGGGAAAAATAAGAATTCTGTATATAGTCCTATGCAGATTTACTTGGCTGCAATTAGCACTGGAGAAATCAGACTCTGGAAGAAATCCTTATAGAATAGTACAACAAATCTTCTAATTTCAGAGGGGCTTTACATGGCTGACTTTGGCTGCACCACACGTATCACTGTTGTTAATCTGTTAAATGTTTCAGCCAACAATATATAACTACTGGACCAAGTGCTGAGGATGCACTCTAGAACAGCGGTCCCCAGGATTTTTGGGACCGTGGACAGTTTGCGGGGTGTTTGCTCCATGCACAGGGGGGCGGTGGTGCGTTCATGGGCGGGCATGTTGTGCTTCCAGGTGGGCGTGGTGCGCCCCTCTGCGATCATGCCACGCCACCATGCGTGCATGCATGGGTGGAGATCCGTCTCCATGGCCTAGTTCCAGGAAGCCCGAGGACCGCCAGAAGGCCATAGACCGGGCGTTGGGGACCCCTGCTCTAGAACATACCCATTACTTCCCTCTTAGTTGGATTCTGCAGGGGAAGATCATAAGTGCATGCACAACATTACTTTTTCCACTGTCATATTTTCACTATGGAATCTACCACATGCTTCTGAAGAACACCATGAAAAATCACCAGTTTAAAATAACAAGGTGGCTGCACAATGTATGTCAACATCACTCAGTAATAAGATAGGGAATTGATACAGTCAGGTAATATGTGTTTAGATTTACCTCGTTATCTCTTTCTTGGGCCTCTATCAAGAGATAGTGGGGATTTAGGCATATATGCACTAAAGTATTTTAAAATCAAGTACAAGTTGATTCTGTGGCATAATAAGATCAGCAACTAGCAAATTAAGAGCAATCGTGAACTGTGAGAAGTATGTTACACTGAAATATTTTAGACTGCTTTAAAATAAGAAGGCTGTAATACCTTTTGTAACCTGATGACTGAATTCCTGTTATTTAGTGCAGTCACTAAATTTATAGAAAAATTAACACACCAAATCCCTACGGATTCAGTGGACATACTTTAATGGTGGCTTACTACACTAAGCAACAGGATTTCAGCCAATTTGTAAGACTTAAGTATTTTGGTACTCAAAAATATAATAATGTATATAAATATGTAAGGATTCCATTTCACAGAAGGAGTTTTTAGTATTCTTTGTGATGTAGAAACTGAGATACATTAACTTCCTGTGAGAACGTTCATACACTTTGCATCATGACCAGCATTAAACAATTTTGAAGTTTTAGGTAAAATTTAGTACTATTATATAATGGTTATTTTTGAAATGTATTCCCTCATATATTAAGGATGTTTTCATTTTCATCATTATTTACTGTAAATATATGATCTGTACTCAGACCTAGTAAGGTTTAAGAGTGGAAATCCACAGGTGATTTCTCATCATTTAAGTTAGTGATGAGATGACTAACTTAAATTCCATTGATTTCAGAAGGCCTGCTATATGCATGGCTAAATCAGTGCCAATTCTACAATAATCTACTCAAGAGGCAGTTGTAACTTGTAGGATCCTGTGAATGAATTCCAGAGAACAGGAGAGGATCAGGATAAACAGTTTCTACCTTCTACTACATCACACCGTGCAGTGTCTTAACTTTTTATATAGTTAATATATTTTTTCTATAGTTATATATATAACCACTGTACCTCTGCAATAATTCTGCAAGTGTGGGATGGGCCATTCCAGTTTTCTTCACTGCCCCCAAAATGTTCACACTTTGAACTATACAAAGGCTCTATAAAAACTATATTAACTATATAAAAATTAACTATATATATAGTGTGAACATTTTGGGGTCAGTGAAGAAAACTGGAATGGCCCATCCCA